AAGTGTATGAGGCTGTGGGGAAGGATGCTATGGGTGATGACTCTTTGGACGACTTTGTGGGGCCTGTGGAGAAAGCTATGGGAGAGACCATGTAGGAAACGGGGGCGGGGGTTTCCTGAGGGGCACTGTGGGGTGCTGGGTGCAGAGCTTGTCTGGGCTGTCAGTGGGACGGGACAGCACCGCAGGGCACCTTTTTGTGTAGCTCTGTCCTGGGGGCTCTGTGTGGACTGTGATGGGGATGTGAGTGGAGCCACATGGGAGACTCCATGGGGGACAGTTCAGACTGTGGGACTTCTGCTCTGGGGGCTGCATGGTGGGCTACCAGACCTGCATGAGGCTGTGCGAGGCTGTGGGTGGCTGGATAGAGGGTGGCAGAGACCTGGTGGCCTCTGCAGCTTCACCATGGAAAGACGCGTGTGCTTCCTTAGGATGGGGGTGCTCGAGGGGCTCTCCAAGTGTGGGCGTTTGTTCTCCTCCACGTGGCTGACGGCGTGAAGGGGAGAGACACCAGGGATTCAGGAGGTGAGCAGGAGGAGCAGTGGGGCCCCTCAGAATGTTGCTCTGCCCCCTCTTCTTACTTGCACAAGGCTGAAGACACCTTCTGACACTTTGGTTTGCTTTCTCAACAGGACAACGTGGATCTTGGAGAGTTGATGTTTTCCCTCTGCTATCTTCCAACGGCTGGCAGGCTGACCATCACCATTATAAAAGCAAGGAATTTAAAGGCAATGGACATAACAGGAGCATCAGGTGGGAGAGTCTAGAACTCAGATTTCCTCCTAGGTTCTAATGTAGCACCTTAGGGAGTCTCCAGTAAATAAAGCGCCTAGACTTGTGAACCAAACTGCTGGGCTTAATCCTCGCCCTAGACCTTACAGCTGTGTGACCTTGGGCACGTCACTTAACCTTTCTGGGCTTCAGATTCTCCATCTGTAAAAATGAGGATAAGCGTAGTATCTTAGGTCTTCTCATTCACCATAGTGTGAACTGGACCTGTGATTTGCACCTGCTGATGTAGCTTATCCAATTGGGTCTTTCCTCAGATATAAGCAATCATCATCTCAGGCTTTTAGAAGATTGAAGGCAGTCCAAATCCTTAGAAAGGTCCATCCATGAGCTTTGCAGTTTGGTTTTTCCAGTGAATCAAGTGTGTACACTTCAGTTCTAAACCCTAACAAAAAATACTCTGATACTCAACCCCTTTTATGTGAGTTCACAAGCCACCTCTGCAGGGGCTCCCCAAATGTGGTCACAAAACACTCAGGCCACTGGCTCTTGGTCACTGAAATCAGAAGACGTCAGATGTAATATATTCTGCTTCCTGTATGCCAGGATTTTTTCGAGCAGAAAAAAAGATGCAGCCCCTTCTGGCCCTTTGAGTCCCCCCGGACAGTGTATGGGGCCCAGGGCTAAGCATGGTTATGCAGGTGACACAGAAGGACTCCCCCTGAGTGGGAGGATAGTGATGTGAAACCAGGGAAGTCCCACCTGAAGCAGAGACCCACTTTGTCACCTGTCACCTGTCTCAGCATGGTATCACCAGCAAGCCTGTGTCCTTTCTCTCCCCAACCTCTGAACTCCTTCCCCCTTTGCAGCCTGACTGCAGGCAGATCCGGGGGCTCGAGGCCCCTGCACTGAAGGAAATCCACTCACACCGCACACCCAAATTCTCCCTGTCCTCTAAGAATTTAGCTTCTCCCTTTCCCAAAGACCTGGTGTTCAGGAAAAGATTCCTCAGGGCGGCTCAGAATAAGGGTCTGCAGCCCAGCTCCCCACGCTTTCGAAATGCCTCTGCATCTGCCTTCCTGTGGCAGCCGGACAGGTCTGGAATTCTAGCTGGAACGTTTTCTAATTCAGTTAGTGATGTTTTCACACTATTTTAAAATTCCACGCACTTGGAGTAGAGAGCGTCCTATGCTTTTTCCTGAATGAGTGACTTAATTATCCCAACTCTAGTCACTGCCCAGGCGTTGTGTTAATTAAAATCCTCAAACTCCAGCCCACAGGCAAGTAAAGGGGTTCTGCATACTGTGGTCCTTGAAACTCCACAATGACGACACTGCCGGCTTAACTCCACCTTTATCCTCACGGTCCCCCTGCTTCTCACGGTCTGTGCAGATCCCTACGTGAAGGTCTCTCTGATGTGTGACGGTAGACGACTGAAGAAGAGGAAAACGTCCACCAAGAGGAACACTCTGAATCCTGTTTACAATGAAGCCATAGTCTTTGACGTCCCTCCCGAGAACATTGACCAAATCCACTTGTCCATAGCGGTCATGGACTACGACCGGTGAGATGCCTGGAGCTCTCTCACGGCACGTCCCCTGTGCCCACAGCTGGCAGGGTGGGGTGGGGGTGGCCACGGATTCTTAGCTGGTGTCCTAGTGCAGCTACAGGAGAGGAGCTGGGCGAGCAGCACAGAGACAAGGAGTCAGCAGGTTACAGGCCCTGCTATAGAGACAGGTTACCAAAGTGCCTGTCAGCTCCCCATTTCTTATTCTTTCTCCTCCTCCATCCTCCTGCCTCCTCCACTTCTTCCCCTCTCTGGCCCTGCACACCCCCTAGAATCTCAGCTTGAAGAACTGTGGCTCCACAGATCTTAATCTTCTTGCAGGCAATCCTGCCTGGTTTTGAGAGGAAAGATTCCACTCAAAATAGCAGAATGATTACTTTAACCAGACCATCAACATTTCTAAATACATAACTTCGTTCTTTTTTTCTTCTCCCGATGTGTTTAATAAAGATCATTTCCATCCACTTAAATCTGAAAGCAAACACAGAAATGTTCTCTTGAAAACGCTAGAATCAGTATGGATGACAGGGTACATTAAAATGTATAAGATGCTCCACTTTCTAATTAATACAGCACAGAAGAGATATTTATAGCCTGCATTGTAGCCAACTGTGTATTTAAAGGACAGATTTGAAAAACAGTCATTTTAATATGCAAAGGAAGTAGCAACAGTGAATTATACATGTTACCAGTCATTAGACTGAAATGCAAAGTCTCTTTTTAATTGGAAACCTCCCACGTGGGCTGGGCACAGTTATATATAAAAAAGAAATCATTCTGACTTCTCATATCTTACAATATTATTTGTGGATAAAAATTTTCCTGCAGACCCCTGAAATGTCAACAAAGCAGCCTCGGTGCCCTGAACACTCTTTGCAGCAGATGCCTGGGTAAAGCATAATCTTCTTTCAACCCAGGGAGCACGTATGGGCTCAGCTGCCCATGGGTGTGACAGCCCTCAGTGGGCAGTAGACCTCACCCTGTCTCCTCTGGATGACACACAACACCAACAGCATCAGGCCACGAGAGGGGTCGTTGCCCACCAGCCGTGGAAGGCTGGGCTGGCATCATTCAAGCTATTGCCAAGTTTCCCGTTATCAGCAAATCTGTTTATGTGAACTCTGCTTCAGTTTAATTCTCAGTAAACTCATGAATCTGTCCTGGAAAAATCCATGGCCGAATTCATAGGGCGTCTGCGTGTAACTGATTTTAATGAGTAGAGAATCAAATATCCTTCACACCACTTCCCCACCCTTGACTCCCTATACACATATAGAAAAATCATTCATCTTTGCAAGAAGGAAAAAGAAAGAGAAGAAGCCTGTGAGTTTGGATCCTTAAGAGCTAAAGGGCAGGCCGTGTCATTCTGATTATATACAAAAGGCTTCAGACCAAAAACTGTGAAGGAAAAACAGAGACGGTCCAAGGCAGGGACCCATCCAGGGATGTTTCAGAAATCCTAGCTAAGTGTTTAAGGGACTAAGCATCGTTCTACAGTAGGGAACTCAAGCTGGGCCACTGAAGCAAAGCTGGGCTAGGAAGGAAGCAGGGAAGAGTGTGAGAAGACATGTTCTCTAAAGAAAGATCCCAAGAAGACCCAGGAGCCCCCTCCATTCTGCCCTCTTGTAAGTTCAAGGCTACAGCTGCCAAACTCAGAGCTTCTCCCTTACCTGGACTTGATTGCCTGTTGCAGGAGGGGAGCAGCCATTAATACAACAAACTCCTTTCAGATGGGCCCCTTTCCATTACGTGGATTTGGAGGCCTGGAGATCAACCCCATTCCAGAACCAGAGGAGGCGTCATGTGCGTGCATCAGGGGGCTCTCCCAACACAGGGCGCTTGGGAACCAGCTAAGTCATGTCGGGCACGACAGCCGAGGTGTGTGAGGGCCAGACTCTGGTCTTCCTCTCTGTGCCCCCAAGTCCTCATGGCTGTTAAACTTGACCTGTAGATTTGAATTAGGGAATGAAAAGGACCGCCCCTTCCTAATTCCTCTATCCATTCAATTGAGAAGTTGTTACCCTTACATTACAAAATTTTAGGATAAAAACTATTGTGGACCATTTTCACAGTGTAGGTCACAATGAGATCATCGGCGTGTGTCAAGTAGGCAACGAAGCTGAGAGGCTGGGCAGAGACCACTGGAGTGAAATGCTGTCGTACCCGCGCAAGCCCATCGCGCACTGGCACTCCCTGGTGGAGGTAAGACCTACTCTCGTGCTCCCCTTTGCAGAAGGATAAGTGCTTTACTGTTGAAATGCAGACGCCACCAAGAATGGGAGTGTCCCAGGGCCTGCGGTATCAGTGGCTTTCCCTGGTTGTATTTCCTGAGGCTGTTTGTTGGGGATTGCATTTGTCTGACATGGAGTCTGTGCTCCCCGCCAGTCTGGTGGGTTTTGAATATTGATTGGGAATCATCCCTCGCTTTGATTGTTTTTTAAAAAGTTCAGGATTCTCTTATTTCACGTTGTGGCTTTGGATTGACGTTTGGAGGGCATCTGCAAGATCTGGAGGAGTGTGCACTTCAGGCCGTCATAGAGTGACTTACATCTGCCATCAGAAAGAACTCGAGACTGGGAGAGAGAAGGCCTGGATTCTGAGACTGACTCTAGTATGTGTGATTCTGGGCAAACTGGTTATTATCAGATTCAATTATATATGATTAAAACCCCCAAAACAACAAACCACAGAACGATAAGTGAAATGGAAATTTGTTTCTCTGTTACATAAAAAAAGGTCCAGAGGAAGGTCATCAAGGCTGTTTCAGTGGCTCTGTGATCAACAGAGGTGTAGACTTCTATCTTTCTGCTTCCAGTGCTGTTGTTTTTGTTTTTGTTCTTGTTTTTGTTTTTGAGATCACCTCATTGAACAACATGGCTGCTAAGCTCCAACCATCACATATCTTCCAGGCCTCAGAAAGGTAGAAAGAGACAAGAGCCAGAAGCACACACATTCCTTTTTAAGGGCTTTTCCTTGATGTCTTATGCAACATAGCTACTTACATTTAATTTAGTCACAGAACTTAGTCATGTGGACATGTCTAAATGCAAGGATGGGTGAGAATTTTTTTTTGATGGGGTGGCAGCATGAAAAACTGAAAAAACAGGCTTCTGTTTGCAAGGTAGAAGAGGACAGTGGATACCTGGAGGCAGTGGGCCATGGTTCTGCCTCCCACCTTCATTCATTAACTCATTCCCCCCCTATTTCCTTCTCATTTATTCTTCCTCCATTCACCCTTCCTCAGTGACTCACTCTCTTATTTACTAACTCACTCTCAAAAATAAATTGTATTCACTAAGTGACATTTCTGTGGGTCAGATGCCGTGTGAGATACAGAAAATACAGATGGCAGAGATTTTTCCTTCCCTTGAAGATCTTATAGACCATGAGAGAGAGAGAGAGGATGGCATGTGAGCCAATCACCAAAGTGCACACTTGTGCGTATCATCATCCACATCAGGTGCCGCTGGAGCACAGAGGGAGGAAGGGTTTGCCCTGCTTAGATGTCTTGCTTGTCTGTGAAGCATTAGTCCCTCCCGCTCTTGGGAAGAGAACTGAGCCCCTGGGAACAGGGACACCAGGAAGCGTGGGTTCCAGGCAGAGAACTTCCTCTGACTCCCCCAGTGCAGGCAGCTCTGTCCTGCAAAGCCATCCTGAGAGGCCAAGACCAGAGCCTCACCGGCTGTGCACTCCGCTGCCGTGGACAGTCGGGTGAGTCTGGTTGACGCACACGTGCCAGGCAGCCTGCGGAGGCAAGAGAGGGCCCAGGGGATGAAGGGACAGCCTTTCTTTGTTGGAGATGATGCTAAAGGGAGAAAAGCAGGACAGGGTTCATGGACTGGTTCTAAGCTTTGGGGCCTCCAGAAGGTATCTTCAAGGGGAGCCTAGCCCCCCCGCCCCAAATTTGCAGGTCGCTGAGGACACCTCTGACCTTGGGCCAAAGAAGCTAAGACACTTTCTTTCCTGGGCTCAAAATTCTAAGATACTTTCTTTCCTGGGCTCAAAATTAATCTCTAAGGGAGACCCAGAGAAACTAGGAGCCACTTGAGAAGCAGCTGGGGGGCTGATGCTGCCTGCCGCGTGCTTCACTTCTTCAGCACCTGGTGGAATTCTCAAAGGAGTCCACCTGCGGGCTTGTTAAATTGCCAGAGCCGTCACCAGTGGTGGCAGTTCAAGCGCATGTAATCGACTTTTTGCCCCCTTACAGGTCGCTGCTGACTTTCATCCTTATTTATAACAATCTGGAGTGTCAAAGCGTGTCAGGCCTCTTGCTTCTCGGGACTCGGGAAACGGGAAAGGAGTGGAGACCGGGGTGTGGCGTGGGGCTGCACCGGTGCTTCTGTCTCGGTGCCCTTGCCGGGGAGTGGCCGTGGGTGGCACGCTGGAGGCTGGGCCCCAGGCGGCGGCGTGTGCACCTTCCGTGAGGGAACCTGTAGAAAGCGGGCCTCGGAGGCTCCCTTCACTGCCCAGAAAAAGTGCTGTGTGACTGGCCGCCTGGGGGACATTCCTTAAGCCCTGAGCGCTTGGCTTATTCAGATCTGCTTTTGACAGTTAAATAAGTGAGAAATAAATGTTTTTAGGGTTAAACCACCGAAACTTGGGAGTCGTTGGTTACAGCAGCTAGAATCACTTTGGCAGATACCAGTCTTTTCTCAACTGTTGCATCAGAACTAAGGCAGTGAATTGGCCCTGACGTGAAGGGCAGACCACAGGAAGCTGTGCCTGCCTTGTTGCGTCCTGTCTCTTTGAAGTCCACGCCCGGGACCTGAGATCCAGCCTGAGATGGGAAGCGATCCTTTCCCTTTGAAGGATAAGCGTGTAATGAGCACAACTGGAGCAATGGTACCAGATGAGATGAAGAACAGGGTCAGGATGCAGGAGGCCAGAGGCCGAGCAGTTGGACATGCTCACTTTGGGCTTGGACGGACCTAGATTCAAATCCATGTGCTGCCACTCAGTTTTTTTTTCCGCTTTCCAAATCTCAGTTCTCTCCCCTCTAACGTGGACGTCATAGGGTCTATCCCACAAGGGTGGTTGTGAGGACTAAATAATCCAACCTGTGTGAAGCACCGTGGCCGGCACGCAGTAAGTGCTCAGTAAAATTCCCAGCTGTGATTGTAATTACGTCTGTCCTGCATTCTGAGAGATCGCTGTGGGTCCTCATGGGACTGTCACACAAAGAAAATCGTCCATAATGTCTGTCACAGAGGGAAAAGGAAGGACACCCCCAGCCCCCACATGCTGGTGAGCCATCACCTCAGGCTGGAAGAGGGGGTCATTTTTGACTTTGCCGGATGTAGAGACACATATTGAAGTTCTGTTCTTTCTCCTTTCTTCCTTGGCCTTCAAGATAAGCGGCTGCTATACTGAGAACCTTTGAAAATTTCTGCTTTAAAACAAAAACAGCAATGAAATCCCAGATCTCTGGGTGTATGTGTGTGTGTGTGTGTGTGTGTGTGTGTGTAGGAATGAATGAAAGAGAGAAAGAGAGGGAGAGAGGATACAGGCTGGTTAGGATTTCGTACAAAGGGAGGCTGGCTTGGCAGAAGCTCCTCGCTTCTAGGGGCTGAGGGCCAGGTTAGGGCTGAACCGTGAGCCCTGCGGAGACCTGGCAGCCTGCTTGGGCTAGCATCCAGTACACCCTGACCTTGCCAGGGCAGGTGGCAGATGGAGTCTTCAAAGCCAATGAGTTCAAAAATCCGTTTCTCTCCCAGGGATTCTGCATGGCTTCACTGTACACGCAAAGGTCAGCCAGCTCCCCCTCCCTTTTCTCTCGGTGATGCCAGAGGCTTGGGAAGCTGTGTGAACTCCCTCAGAGCAGGCTACTTGGGGCCTGGGGACAGGAGCCTCCCTGCCCTGGGCCTCGGGAGATGACAGAGCTCTCGAGGCTCCCCCTATAGCCCCCTCCTCTGCATATCCAAGAGAGGATGGTGTTGGCCTGGCGGTATCCCAGCACCCTTCCACCCTCTTGCATGTGGAGCTGACCCCTCATGAGCTCTGGGGAGAGTAGTAGAAATAGTTCCAGGTTTTCATCGCATCCGTGTGCAGTGCTGTGTCACCTCTGGATTAACGAGTAGTAAAGTTGGTTTGATGGGAAGACCAGAACACAGACACCACTCAGTTAAATCAATTTCTACTTTTCTAAAAGAGGTAGAATCAGATCAGAATACACAGTGAAGCTCAGCACCATTTCCCTGATTGATAGAGGTGCAAGATTCTGAACCTCAAAGTGCTACTCAAGGGGTGCTCAGGTGTGGGTAAGTCTTCCTCTCTCCAAACTCAGCCTTTTATGTGTGCATAACCAGGGGCTGGTGGGGCACATTACACCCTGACGTGAACAGAAGCCTCATCAAGCACCCTCTGTCTCTTTAAGGGTATAACTTAGAGCTATAGAACTAGAGCAAATGTCATTCCCCAGATTTGACTGGGAGCCACGTTAGCAGGCCCTTTAAACCAGCTCTCGATATTATCCATCAAGTGCCCAGCAGAGCCCACCTGGAACCTTTGAGGTCCACACATTTCCAGGAGAGAGCATCTGATTGCCCACGTTGGGTTAAGTGTCCACCTCAGTCCAGTTTACAGGAGGTCAAGGGTCATGGAAAGGTGACCCAATTCCACTCCAGCAGGAGAGTTGACAATAGACTTCTCAAGAAGGGTCCTGGCAGGACAGCGAAATGGACACAAGTGAACCCAGCTGCTTCCCAGTGGATTTTGAAGTGAGGGATTTGGAGGCTTTAACACTCCAGGACAACTGTTCTTCACAACATATAAGTCATATCATGTGGTATTTGTCTTTCTCAATCTGACTTACTTCTCTCAGTACGATAATCTCTAGGTTCATCCATGTTGCTGTTAATGGCATTATTTCATTCTTTTCATGGCTGAGTAATATTCCATTATATATATATACCACAACTTCTTTATTTAAGCATCTGTCAGTGGACATTTAGATTGCTTCCATCTCTTGGTTGTAAATAGTGCTGCTGTGAACATTGGATTGAGGGACTCTCTGATCACTGACCTCCTATTATTTGCCTCAATTTGCAGGAACGTATAGCACTGACTCCTTTGCATGGAACAGCACAATTCAAAGAATGGAAATGCTATCCCTGTCACATAGGTATTGAATTAATATTTGAGCAGTGAATGAGAGAATGAATGAATGAGACATATAATGAAAGCAGTTGGGTTCCTTTAGTTCT